CAGAAGTCATAAAGTGTGTTTGGTGATAGCTGAAATCCATCTTAACACAGTTGTACTTAGTAACCTCCAAGCAGATAAATTGCATGTATAAAGTGCTGCAGAGAAAAGATGTACAGAAACAAGCTGAACCATACATCTGCTTGGAGATAAAGCAGCAACAGTGTACAGAGTTTTGTACAAAAAAAAGCTGCAATTTCATTTTCTTGGCTCCTGTGCAGCCAAAGAAATACTAGTGAAATACTTTCTTCCGATTATATTTACCTTCGCCAAGAAGGTTATGTTTTCAGGGGCGTTCGTGTATGTGTGTGTTTGTGTGTGTGTCTGTCTGTAAACACGATAACTTGAGAAGGCCTTGATGGATTGTCTTGATACTTGGTAGGTGGGTAGGTCTTGATGAGACCTCAAAATGATTAGATTTTGGACCCCCTAGCGGCTTATTATGGTACTGCAGCTGAACTTCCGGTTTTGATATCTCATGATCTAGACATGCTATGGTGATGAAATTTAGATGGTAGGTAGCTCTTGTGCTGGGAAAGAAGTGACGTGAGTTTAGGCCCCCTAGCGGCTTGCTCTGGAACTGCAGTGATAAATTCTTGAAAATATTCAAAAGGGGATAACTCAAGAACCGGTTGACGGATCGTTGTGATTTTTGATATGTAGGTAGCTTATGTGATGCTTCATATAATGATGTGACAATTATGCAAATATGGATGTAATTTGCATAATTTATGGGGAAATTCTATAAATCAGCTGCATTCCATGATAGGACAATTGAAGCTTGTGATATTGGTAATTGACAACGAGAGAAACACAGGAAGATATTGATTATGTTAATAATGACTTAATTTGCATAATTAATGAGAAATTTTATAATTATGTAATGATAACTGCCTGGAATTCCATACTTGTGGTATTTGAAAGTTAAATTGAGGTGAACATCATTAAACATAATTTATTCAAATCAGGACCTCATTTGCATAATTTATTAGGAAATGCTAGAATGCATTCTTTGTTAATATAAGACTGTCTTTTAGTTGAGATTATGATAAAATGATATAATTCATGAAAATTAGGTTTCTATTTCTTAAATCAGGGGGGGAATAATCTAATCTAAACTTTGTCAGTCATAAAGATTAACATCATTTGGCGAAGGTATGAGATCGGGGAACTCTAGTTTTAGTATTAGTTGTTAAGTTTTGTACTCCTCCAATGCTGTCGTTAGTTCGAACGTACTTTGTTTTTGTTTCTTCAGATTTCTATTCTGGTGCTGAATTATTTATTGATGACTGTGAATAGAGGTAGATACATAGTGTCAAGGCATAGCTGGATAGTTTTATACTTGTGTGTGAATTATGGTACTACATGTAGTAGATTAAACATGGCTGGTAATAAGTAAGGAAAATTCAGGTTCTTGCTGAGGATACATTTTTTTCTGGTGACTATTAGCCATCTGAATTTCATATATATTGAGTCAGTTTTTTCTTGTTTGATACAGGATTACCCTTGACTGCTATGGTAAAATGTACTTTTTTTAAGTACATTAAGCATTGAATAAGTCTTTGAAATGAAGAAAACCTATTAGAAGCATCAGCTTTGGATACATTTGATTATACTTTTCAAATATTTTGGGACAACTCCCTACTTTGTTTTGTACAAGCTAACAACACAGCTTTTGAGCTTTTTGTCTGTATCTTGTCTCATAGCTTTTCACACCAGCTTTCCTACAGTGCTACATGTATTTTGTACTTTACATCATGTGTACATAATCTTCATCAGTGATCTATACATATCATCGAGCAGTGATCACCGTTTGTGTTATGGTCCAGGTAACTATAATTGTAGATGTGTCTGTCCTTAGTGTGTTTGCTAGAGATTTGTAGGAAAAATAAAAGTGGAACATTCTTATTACTTATGGCAAGGACTGCTTTTGTTTTTGTTTCAAATGACAAGAAGTCTGCAAATGAAGAACAGTAATACAGGTGTTTGGATGGGGTGTGGGACTTAGCATAGTGTATACAAGTACAACAAGACTGGCAATGAAAACATACATTGCCATGGCGACGGTGGTTGCTGTTAGGGTTATTGTTTGCATGGCACTGCCATCATTTCATGATTTTGAGGAAGACTTGGTACTTGGACTTTGGTTAAGTCTAGACAGATACAGTACACTCCTCCCTTGAGTGCATATAGTGAACGAGCCCCGGGGTCACAGAAAGTAGGGCCATCTGGGGCAGACAGGTCTTCAGGGTTCCAGGAATGTGGGCATGGATGTGGGTCAGAGAAATGCCTGTGGACATTCCGCATGCCTGTGGACGAAATGCCTGTACTCCCTGAGACGTCGCCAAAAAGGTTGTCTTTCGGTTAGGGTTGTTGACTCAAAATCTGAAGGTTCTGAGTTCTAATCCCTGGTAGGCCCTAGGGTTGTGACCTTGGGAAAAGTTCTTAACACCTATTTCCTCACAAAACTTAGGTGAAAATGTGTTCCTAGCTTCAGATAGGGACATACTCTGAGAGTGGTATGGACATGTGTCACAGTCATCAGGAGTAGCCAAAACTATCAAGACGAGAAAAAAAGAGGGGTAGGCAACAGAAGAGATGGGAGGATGGACAGGCACTGACGGGAATATATGGTGGAGAAACCTGGTTGTCAAATCGTCTGTGGTCAATTAGACTATATATATATATATATATAGCTAGGTAAATGAGAGATTGAGACTGTCCTTTTTTTGGTTCATGTAAGATAAAATCTCTTTATTGACAAATATTTCTATTATTACAAATTACTAAGTATTATAATGTATACATTTCCACTGAATATGATAATAACACTGAAATGTATCATTCATTTCATCTCAAGCAGACTTGCCAGTGACATGATAGTAATTTTGGTGTTCTTTTGTTTTTTTTCTTCATTTTTTTACCGTACGTCATACCACCAGTAATTCTGCTAGGAGATAATCATCCATTCATATTAAATACTGATAAACCAGTAATGTATAATAAAAAATCTACTATTAATGCATTATCTGACTGGCCTTTAACCCTTTCCTGCTGAGGTAGCCTATTGGCTTCAAATAGCACATTGGTTTGAGATCAAGGTAGCAGGGGAAGGTTAAAAACTTACAGATATACGTATGATTCCAAAATCAAGGGGGCTGCCACAGCCCAAATTGAACAAAAAATGTAAATCAAATAAAAAAACTGCCATCCAGGAACAATTCAGTTGTGCTAAATCCCTTAAATTCTACAGTTCTGATTTCTTGGTGCTTTGCACAGTGCAAAAATTAACACATTTTGGGTACCTGATATCAGGTACCCATTTTATACATACAGACTTTTCGACCTGTATTCAACTTAAATGTTAGTTACGTGACTGATACACATTTTGCATCAAACCCTTTGGCACTGATTTAAGTTTTAAAAAATTGAGAAATTGTACGAAAAGCCATCTTGAAGGCTAATTCTTTACGTTTGGAACTAGCTATACAGTACAATGTATATCTGTTTCATGTGCGAATCAAAACTTAGGACTTAACATTATATCACAAACTCAGATATTAACAGAGATAAAAACCTCTTTTCATGAAAAGAAAAAAAATACTTCACCATTTGTATTAACCCCTCTCCATAATTAGAATGAGAGCTAATCTGTGTTGTCAGAAAACATATTGTACAGTTTTTTAACTCTTGATCCAACACAAAGCAGTCATTAATACAATTTTCAATGGCTACTCTACTGCCAAAAATGTTGACAGGTCAGAATACTGTGGTGTGTAAATATAACACTATATTCTGTAATGGTTTACCAAGAGCTACATATTGCACTACAATTTTTCTGTCAAGTGCCAATAGAAACATTATGGTTACAAACTTTTGAAAAGGGACGAAAATTCATGCGCACAAGGATGGTTTAATCAAGTCAGGTGGCGAAACTTTGCTGATTGTTGAGTTACAGGGGGGGAAACAGTTGGGGTAGAGTCCCCCCCTCCCCCACCAGTTTTGATTACACCAGTGGAGAACAGGATGATCAAGGTCAAAATGATAAGGACGACAAGGACAACGACAGACAGACAGATCATCATCTTGGCATTCTTCCAGAAGTACTTCTTCTTCACCCTTCTGGCTGTTTTCTTGAAGGTGTCCGCCTGTGAAAACAGAAGAATGGTAAATGTGCTGATTACGCAAAAACAGAAGTTTTGACATGTGTAGAGGTGGGTATCAGTTTGGCTGAACTTGGTCTGACTGGGAATAATATCTCAGAACTGAGTCCATAAAAACTGCACAGATTCTTTTCTTGCACTCCTAACAAAGAACAGATATATTGTAAACATTTTTATCTACAGCTTTTTATTTCTTCCCAGTGCTGCCACCACTGGAAAGTACCTTCTGGAAGTGGTGTTACTCATTTAGAAGAGAACACACTGGTAGAGCAACACTAAAAGACAGGCCTTGCAACATGGTGTCAGAAGTGGGATATGAGCCCACACCGCCATACAATAGCTGCTTTTGTTTACAAGTACATACAAATTATTTGAAGCCATATAAATATAATTGGCAGGCAAATTACCCAATTTTCGCCCACTTAATGCCTACCACTCACTGGTCATGACATTATGGCGATCGCTTGTATACTCACGCTAGCTTCCAACTCGTCAGTTTTCTCCATCAGGTTGTCGAGGCGGTCTCCCCTGGCCAGGACCTTCTCTATGTTGTCTGACATCACGCCCTTCACTTCATCCACCTGCGACTGCAGCATGGACAGCTGGTCACCTCCGGCACCTGGCTTGGAAAACTGCTCCTGTGAGGATGTGCATGTTCGTCAGTTAATGTCACACCTACTTCCATGATCAATTTGGTATTCTGTCTGCATACACAGCATCTTTGTTCATATCATCATGATAGTATAGTCAAACCTGTCCATGGCCAGCAGCCACCTTTTTAAGCTGGCCACCTGGTCATAACAACCACCTTTTATTTCCTGGTACAAAGCATTGAGTGACCTACCCAAGGTCCTAAGGCCACCTGTCCAAGGAGACCGTAGGTGGCCTTTTTGGGAAGGTTTGATTGTAAATTGTTTCATTGTTGAGAAGACAGAAAAACATCTTAAGAAAAGGCAGACTAATTTTGAAACACAAAGAGTTTAGGCCACTCATGATACAAATACATGAAGTATTACAAATCTTGGCATGGACAGCATTCACTATACAATGATGCCCTCTTACATGTAATTGATAATGATCCTCTGTCTTGGTTCTGACCAACTTCAGTACTTCAGAACAGTTCATAAAGGCAAGTTCCAATTTGCCACTGTTACATCTCCAAGCAGATGTTACAGTAACAAAATTGTAATCAACCAGCAGTAACAGCTGCAGTAATTCCAATAGCCACAGTGCCCGGGCTGCCATTCGGTGGTTTCAAATGTATGCTGACCGGACAACTGCCTTGCCACTTGATTACGATTTTGCCACCATAACATCTGCTTGGAGATTAAAGTTGTCTCTGAATCATACCATTTTCTCTGCTAGGATGGGCTGGAAATCTCTGTTCAACTCAAACGGTGCCGCTGTGATGGCTCTGGAGGCCAGGCTGCCTGACATGAACCTCTGTTTGATCTGAAAAATCATCATTTCAAAAAATAACTCAAAGGTGGACAGCTTATCAAGTTATCAATCTTTTTCTTCCTTTTTGGTGACTATTACACTTTTACCAAATTTTACCTTTTACCATTAATAACCAAAAATATGATCATTGATAACAACTTACAATTGACATCTTTTGTTTAATGTTTCCAATCTGTATTGCACATTACCACAAACTGTTCAGTACTCTCAGACAGTGTTTTACAACCATAACTTACATCTTGGAGAAATGCAAAGGGTCTTTTTGTGTCAAAAGAAGCATCTGCCGCACACATATAGATGATGCCGTTTTCCACAACAACATGGATCTTATAGCTGAAATAAAAAAATAAAAAAACAAAAGAACAAAATGCTATGAGTTTGAATGAATGAACGAACAAACTAACAAACAAACAAACAAACAAACAAACAAACAAACAAACAAACAAACATCCCGTGGTATGAAAATAACACAAACACATATTTTTAGTTTGACATATAAGTCAGCACACGAATCTAAAACAAGGAAATACACATCTACAATATAACATAATTATATATGTTACATGCTGTAAAATGACTACAGCTTACTTTTCTACTGTATACGTTGTTTTGGTGTTGTTTCTTGTGGGGATCTTTGACAGTACGTTGCTCATGATGTCACGGAAGTTACCGCTGGCAGCTGTGCTGTCTGCTAACACCATCGTCCCGTAGGATACACAACTATACAGGATCGCCATCTTGTGTTTATTGACGGAATGTTACGTTCCTGTGAATGCATGGTAAATGAGACATAAACACAAAGGATAACATTGACTTTTCTGTATCTGTATCTGTTATATATGTCGGAATAGCCGGCATAACCTGTAACCCTTCGGCGTAACAGTCACCAACTTTTCATGATCTGATCCAATATAAAAGCTAAATTATCATCTATTCACTTTTTCATTTTTTCATTCAGGAATTCAAGAAATACATGTCATACAAATATATGTAACTTACATAATACAGTAATACAATTATGTAAATATTGTATGACTACAAAACAGTTTACGTTATAAGATAGCATAAAGGAAGTATCATAGCATCAGTCATACATGACAGGAACTTGTGGGGACATTACATGGTACTGAACTAAACTTCTGAAATTCATGGTAAAATGACATGATCATTTTTACTACCAATTCATAAATTAGAACTGTGTGATATAATGTGCCTTCTAAATTTTACAATTAAAATTGTGTGCCGATGACTTTCACCAAGGACGTTATATAACGTTATATAACGTTCTTGCTTTCACCATGTGTTTTTCTTATGAATCATTTCCTGTATTGAAAGTCATCAATTCTCAGAACACAGGGAAATTCGCTGAACTGGCCTTAAGTGAAAACTGGCGTTCTGTGACATTTTTATCACAAAATTCGCATTATAACAACATTTAAACACTTCGTCATGTAACAGTGAACTTTAAACAGCTCTACGGCACCGTACTTAACGGGACCACCCCTTTGTAAACAATAAAAGTCTAACAGTAACAAGTCCAGTCAACTCACCTGTACAGCCAATTCAAACCACCTGTTCTGGCAATTCTGACCCTTGCCGCACGTAACCAGTAAGAAAGTATGAAACAGAAAGGTACTCTTAACGCCCTTGACGCATGAACTTGACGTGACACTCTGAAATCTTTAAGAAATCATCTCTGCCAAGTTTCTTCCGACTTGAGAAGTTTTCTCCTGCAGTCACGTGAGGAGAGTTTTGGGGGTGGAGTGATCAGCTGTTCAAATCTCGCGAGATTTCGCGAGAGTGACACGAAGCAACATCCGGGAACTTCTACGTGCAAGACCCCACACGTGTTTAAAATATTCTGCTAAATAAATGAACTTACAATCCATTGTGTGTCAAATTATGATAATGTATCAAGCTTTTGGACTATTTGTAGCAAATTATATAAAGCATGTTAAAGAAAATACAAGTTTTATGCTATATGAAGCGTTTTCTTGTTCAAATCATCACGTGTCAACAGGCTGTTTTTTTTGTACTATAAGGAATTTTTCTTTCGCAGCTGATCCAAGATGGAGGCACTATACTCGATCCCGTTCTCAGTGTTGGAATGCCCCAATTTAAAGCTCAAGAAACCGTCTTGGGTGAGGGCTCCGTCTGCCATGGTGGTGTACGGATTCGTGCTCGTTTCGTACTTCCTGGTGACTGGAGGTGAGCTGTTAGAATCGTTTTCTTCCTTTGAAAAACAGAACGTAAGAGTCGCGTCCTGGTTTGCTATGTAAACTCAACAACGTGTAACTTTTGTAAGAACATTCTCCGGTTTAAGCCAGTGTTTCAAATTATGATCTTAGTATTCAGTGAAAGTATTGCTTCCTGGTAGTGTTCTGGTTGGGGGATTTTTGTTCTGCGGTTTTTCTGCACATGTAAACCAGTGCTATGGCAGATCAGAACTAGACGCAGTTGCCCTGAGCTGCACCTCATACAAAACTCGCTAGAGGGCGCAAATGTATAGCACGTATATAATTTCCTCTCCCTCAGGTATCATCTATGACGTGATTGTGGAGCCCCCAAGTGTTGGATCAACCACTGACGAAAACGGACATGCAAAACCAGTAGCCTTCCTGGCATACAGGTAAATATGAGTCAGAAATACTACCTACATACACAGGTTAGTGCATGTAAAATTTGGAGCTGTGCAGGTTGTTCCAAAATAAGGACACAACCAGTAAATTCTATGGATGACATCCTCCGCCGACTCCAAATCTAATGCGAGCGGGCGAAAACAAAACAAGGCGGGCGGAAAAAAACAAGGTTCCTACATTTTAAAATGTTGACTCAATCATTGTACAAATGGTTTTTATTCAATGCGAACATCATATACACAGCCAGCATCACATATCACTGCATCAAAGTAAGAAACAAAACATTAAATCAGAGCCTTTTCTTGTCTCCTCTCTTCAGTTATCTGCCTCCGGGCATGGCAACAGACATCTTTGCCTATTTTCGGCATGTTGACCACTGTCAGAGGGCAACAAAATTTCTTGTTTTTTTTTTTTCCAAAATCAGGCAAAAATTAATGCGCGCGCGAATGTCATCCATAAAAATTACTTGCTGTGGCCCAACAAGACATAACATGATTTTTTCACAGCGTAGGGGTCAGGTACAGAAGGACAACTTTCTGCAGTGCAAGTTGCGCCTTGAGTCCCCCAAAACATGACCACAGCTGGGGGTCTGGTACTTAGTATTCTCCCTGACAAATTTTGAAACTAACCCCCTGAGACACTATTTCTGGCTTATCGAGGGACTGGTTTTCCCTGTTATAGCTTCATTCTAAAGTTATATTTTCATTTTTTTTGAAGATTTATGCAGGCCCTCCCCAAAAACATCCCTATGCTGAATTGTGTACCAAAAATTTACATATGCCTTCAAGTATTAGTAATTTGCATGTACTAGTATATGAATTATGATGTAAACAAAAACAGTGATCGCTCATATGTGTTTCACCTTTTAGAGTCTCTTGTGCTCCTTGCTTGAAATTCATGTGTCACGGATAACATTGTTAGTACATGTGTATCATACACAAGGTACAAGGACAAGGACAGGGGGCGCCACTACCTAAAACCTGTATATGACTGTCTCTTGTCACATGATTATCCCATCAAGTCACATGACAAGAGAACTCCAAGACGAGATCTTAATCGGGTAATTAAATAAATTATAAATAAATACATAAATCGGGTTGATGAAGAGACAGAGTGCGTCTCGAAAGCTCCCCAGCATAGCTGAACTTTTGTTGTGTGTATTTGTATAAATATTTTGTCAAATGTAATACAGTATCATACATGTTTTCCTACTGTTCTACAGAGTAAATGGACAGTACATCATCGAGGGTCTGGTGTCTAGTTTCCTCTTCACCCTCGGTGGCCTGGGCTTCGTGGTACTGGACAAGTCCAACGCTCCCAACCTCCCCAAACTCAACCGCTTCCTGCTCATGTTCATCGGCTTTGTCTGTGTCCTCATCAGCTTCTTCATGGCCAGGGTCTTCATGAGGATGAAACTTCCGTAAGTATTCAAGTTGAACAAAAATACTGAGTGTGAGCATGGTCGCTCATGTGAATCCGCATATAACTACAGTACGTACGTACATGTACTGCTATTGCGATTTTTGCATAAGGGGAATATTGTTTTTGCTTTGTTGCTTCTTTTCCATTCCAAACAGAAAAAAAACGCAATGAAGCAAAGGTGCTCTCCTTCTCCCCAAAATCCTAGCACTTCTCCCAAAATGTTAAAATTTAGGCTTTTCTCTTAGTATTTTCATGAAAATTCACTGATTTTTCATAAACTGATTAAGGAGCACCTCTCCCCTAAGAATTTCTGGGGAGACCCCTAAAAGGTCAGTGATCTGGACCAGACGGCTGTTATACCCAAATAAAGACTTAAACCTCAAAATGCTCCTTATCTAGCTATCACCTAATACATGTGTATAGATGAAAAGCAGCTGCAGTACCCACATGAGACAATAGAGGGAGCATGTTTATCACTGTTCATTCTCAAGAATAGACACTGATAGAGGTTGTTTGACAGTGACACATGTGCTTCAATTATGATGAAAATATGCTTAGAAATGGCAGTAAATGTCAATATCAGATAGGTTTCCTCATCCAGGATATTTTTAGTTTTGCTGCCCTGAAATTGCATTGGTTAACTGACCCAATACTGTAATACCTCATCAGTAGCATAGATCAATAGAGGAGTAATCCACACTGTCCAAACAATCTGGTATTGAATGGTCACCAAGTAACAGGGGTTACCCGCGGTCAAACCAGTGGTCAGTAGTCCCACCACTAATTGCACCACTTGTTATTCAGACAGGTAGATTTTCCAGTTTGTGCTGCTCAGTGCACACTCCAGGGCTCAAAATTTATTTTTGAGAATAGGTGCACTGGTGCACCCAACCTAAAAAATTAGGTGCACAAAAATTTTTTTGGGTGCACCATATAAAAGAAAAACTAATCTAACAGAAAAGCAGATCTAACTGCTCCTCTTCTGAGCTTGAATCTGATATGGGAGCTAACTTACAACAAAGATTTTATTATTTTTCTGACACTTGTATGTCCTGCATCCTATACGTTTGATATGTACAAAAATACCTACAAAAAATATTTGGGTGACAGGGTGCACATGCACCCAGCATTTCGAGCCCTGCACTCACTCACTTGAACTACCCAGGCTTTTATTATTCTGCTGCTGGTGTATTTAGGCAATTATAGACAAAACATTACCCATGACTATCTCTACAGGTAGACGCCACTAATTTTAGAACTGTGATAAGCAACTCAGAAGTAGAGTGGTCGAGGCCGCACTCTTAGATGCAGATAGGACTCAGAAGCAGTCTGACCAGTGTTCTGTCATTTGAATGGAATTTTGCCACTCATACCGGACAAAAATTGTCATCTTTGACATGTTAAGAAATGGAAAAAGATATCATTAAACTAAGCTTAGTCTATGAACAAAGTTTGCCCCTCAAAATGTAGGAAATAGCATTTTAGAGAGATACAATCTCAAATTTTCCCATGGGAATATACCCCAGTACCATGAGTAAGAGTTTGAGTTTAAAAGAAACATATCTGAAAGTTATGAAACAAGTTTGAACTGTAACAACCAACGCAAAAAATTAGACTCACCCTAATTTTTGACTGTACAACTCAGTCAAAATTTTTTTTGTGCTGGTCTTTACAGTTCAAACTTGTTTCTTTAATGACTTCTACCAACACAGATGAGCTTTCAAGATAGCATCTGAAAGTTGTTTAATAGCTACATGTAGATGAGCATGTAATAAGCCACTAGTTTGACACCTGTTTAGTAGTGTCCCTGGCCTGTGGTGTTTCTATAAAAGGTGACTCCCACAGTGATCTGCCCTCAGCCAATTAGACTATGCCACTTTCCTTTGTGTCAGAAATAGAACTTTGTGAGGGAAGACCCCTCGGGGAATGAGTGACATACTTTTCTTGATTATATTGTCTGAAAAAGAGGACAAAGATATGCAGGTAATGGAGTGAAAGAAACTATAATCCCTTTAACTAACTCTGAAGTTGATTACATTTTTGTTTGTGTTCATGAAACATGTTTTGTGTAATATATGTTGGGAAGTTCTGCAACAAGAAAACAACTAGCATTGTTGTTTGATTGTTTCAATGGCTAGAGTGTCAGAAGTGAAACAGGTGTCATGCCGTACCTAATTGTGCATGCTGAGTTAATTATTAGTCCCATGTGTCCTATTGAGAACATTCGACAACAACTAGGAAACAAAGCTTTGGGAGTGTCATCTTCACAGTACTTAAACATCTTCAAACAATAAAACAAAATTCAGTTTGCCTTGATGAAGATGAGAAGTTGTCAAAACGCCCACAGAGAAGTATGTGATTGTGGATGTAAGAAAAGTGTTGAATTGAGAATACCAACCTGATGAAACTATTTACAGAGCCATGTTTGTTTATTTGTTTGTTTGTTTACAGAGGTTACCTGTCTGGCTGAGTGAGAGACACAGAGGACACAAGAGCAGACGGTTTGGAGACGTCCGTAGATGGTCGACTGTCCACAATCAGACACGTTAATGATCCCAACATTACCAGTACTTCAGTTTCAACAATCAATGACACGTCAGAGAGAGAAAAAGATCCTGCTATTCAATAATGAAGTAGTGTTTGAATATTTAAATCCTAATAGATTTGTATTCAATAAAGGGCAGATTTTATACGCGATAAAATTGTGTATTCGAGTCATTGTCTTATTGAATATCTGCACTATTCCCCTTGTTCAAATTGAAAGAAATATAGAAGGAACTAGAGGGTGTCTTAACCCTCAGAAAACTGAAGTAGCCATTTGGCTTCCAATTCTCTGTTGGTTTCATGGTTAGGCAGCAAGGAGAAGGTTTGAAAAAAGAGTTGTGTAAAAAAACAAACTTGTCTATGTAGAAAGCCATCACAATCCTTCTTCTTATACAATGTGGTGAAAATCACTAGATGAAGTTAAAATAGTTTGGTGGTTTTCCCAAGAAGTTACGGACTTTTCATATCATGCATGAGAACAATGTTACCATTTAAAACTGCTCATCCAAGACACAAGCTTAGACATCACCTTGTTCTATCAAAGTACTGTAATTCCTGATTATTAACTGTACTGTTATGTTCACTGTTTTCACTGGACTTTCTTTTTCCTGCACCTGTTGCCACATGTAGTTCCGTGAACATGTCAATTTTTCTCAGACCGTGAACTTTTGCTACCGTGAACATAAAGTACCATAACTTAAGTCCAGCAACTTTTGTTTGAGTAACTGCTACTGTGGTATCTTATTACCTGTATGTCTACCCTTTATCACTGCATTTACTTTATCCTGTGTATACCTGCCTAATCTGACACATTTATCTGTTGTTGAGGAGTCTGACTGCAGTAACCTCACCCCCCTTCAGAGTTAAACTTGTTTTGATGTGACCACAGTGGTGTTTGTTATTGGGATGTACTCATGCGAACAGCACATCGGCATAACGTACTGCGCCTGTGCAAAAACACAGGTTGTATTTGATTTGGTCAATAGTGCTTCAGAAATTTGTTCATTGCAAATTTTTGGACACAACATTGGAAAACAACAGACATGATATCATTGTTCAATATGCAAAAAGACTTGCGGGAGCACATCTCAATTTACTGTGGGTACTCCCTTTTCCATGCCACATACCTGCAAGTCAAGAAATGGGCTCTTTCTGGAATTGATTCTGAAGCAAATAAACTGTGGAATGAACAATATTCCTGATATTCCTCTAGGTACAAAAACAACAGAATTTCAGTTTCATTAACCTTTAAAACTTCTCAAGGGGGAAAAAGTATTTTCCGATGTAAAAAATCGAACTTATAAGTTAGTTAGACACCAAAATGATTTATATTGTCGGAAAGAGTAAACCCTTATGTATCATCAAGAAAATAAAGGAAATCCTAATACTGAGTTTTTCACAATAACCAGCGTCGTGAGGCATAGCTTGCCAACCGGGAAACTGTTCTCTCAGTGCGGACCAACTCCCCTGGCATATCATCTGTCGAATTTAAAAAAAAAAAAGCATTGCTCCTCAGGTTGATAAGCTAGTAATGTTCTGTAGAACATGCAGAATGTTGACAACATGAAAGCTCAACAAGTTCCCCTTCTTCCCCAGTTTAAGTTGGCAAAGATGATCAACTTAACAGGAACAAAGGGCATAAAAGAATTTCTCCGCAGTAATCTCATTCCAGTCCACACTAAGCTCATTACGCATAACCAACGCCAGTGAAGAAAAACTAATGTGAACTGAAAAAGGAGGAACAATAAACAGCTTGTTGACATGAGCTTCCCTATCCCATTTTACCTAGCCTCCACCAGGCCTTCCTACGGGGGTACGGAACGTAGAATTCGGGGGTACGGAACGTACAATTCGGCAAAAAAGGCAAATAATTTGCCAGTAAACTCACTTTGCAGGTTGGGTAATTTCACCCTTCACATACTAACTATGTGAGCAAATGAACCCTACTGTCGCCTAACTCCCCTGGCCAATTATTCTCACTATTTAGCAAATTTTTACAGTTTTTGAACCCACATTTTTACTCTGGTGGAGTCTACGTTCTGCCCATACAGCTGCTAATACCTCTGAATAGGAAAATACTTGATGGCTACCCGGCAACACAGGTGGGCAGGTGAAATTGGCGGTAATTTGGTTTTGCGGAGTGACCTTGAGGGGTTACCAACGATTGGTGGTACTTTGAAATCCTATTATGGTTGGATCAGACCAGTAATGAGCTTTCAGAGAAGAGTTGATGACGTCTCCTGGCAACCAGGAAAGCTGAAGGGGATCAACCGACCACTCCGGACAGGATGTGACAGAAATCTGCTCAATATCCAACATTACCCACCACAACATTGTACTCACTCTAGTCAATGTGGCTTCAGTAATGTAGGCTATATCAGTCAGTGCTAAAATGTTGATTGATTTAATATACTAGTACACAAGATCTATACCTCCTGTCAATGTACAGATGTGAGTTTACGTGTGTGAATGTGTGGTGTGTGTGTGTGTGGGATTGCTTGTGTTGCATTGTAGTAGTAATAGTAGTAGTAAAAGTAGTAGTAGAATAGTAGTAGCATTCAGTATTTTGTAGCTGAGTAGCAGTAGAAGAAGTAGTATCTAGTATTTGTATGCGTGAACTTTTTTTTCTCTAGATGAGTTGAGTCTTATTCAGGTGGGCCAATTAGAAGTAGTAGTACACCTAGTAGTACATGTAGTAGTAGTAGTAGTAGAAGTAGTAGTAGGTAGTAATAGTAGTACAAGTAGTAGTACTAGTACTAGCAGTAGTACAATGTATTCAATGTTTGCTGGTGTGATCTATTAAAGTTTTATTCAGGTGGGCTAAACAGGGTGATAAGAAATGATTTCAACAATGAGATTTGTGAAGCAGGTTAATTAATTGTTTTATTAGCTAAAATTTCATTTTCCCTTGTTATTATCCAGCACAAACACCATGTACCAGAGAGGTATCATTTTTTAAAAGCCTTTTGTTACTGGTATTTTGATCATTGGACTTAGACTTAAAAGAAATGTACTATGTTTGTTTTCTTGCTGCAATCAATCAAATTCAATGCCCTGAAAATCCTGCATTTTGAGGGACAAATTTTGCTGTAGGCTTAGCTTAGTTTAATGATATCTCTTTCCATAGCTTTACATGCCAATTGTTGTCCATCAAAGATGGCGAATTGGGCAAAATTTTTGGCCATTACAAGTGGTAAAATTCCATCAATTGACAAAGACAGGCGCTGGCCAGAACTCTGATGTACTGTAAATGACAATAGTCTTCTCACCATGGTGTGTTGGAGCCAAATGGTAGCCGTGACAAGTGAAAAATGACCGTTTACGCTCCGACAGCACGTTTTGAGACGTGCCCAGGGCCCTTTGTGTGACATTATTGACAGTTAAGGTGAGGGAATGGAGGCTGTTAGGGGAGCTCTGTTGGGAAGTGTTTACCTTGCTGGCAGCTGGGGGAACTCAACAGAAGATCCATAGTTGCTACTCTGACACTCTGCTAATAAGGAAACAAATAGGAGAACAGCCTAGCAACAGGCCAAGATCCGGCAGAGCCACACAACTGAAATATCTAGTGATCTCTTGCCACTTTTTTGTTTTCATCAAAAATATGAAAACAGGATGCTTTACATTGTTACGAAAGTTCATCTGTGTTGGCAATGGTTAACAGTTGAACTTTGTAAAATTTACAAAATTTTAAAATTACATTTTACAAAATTTTAAAATTACATTTTACAAAATGTAAAATATGCACACCACATTTCCAGCAGCCTTCTTCAGGATTGTAAATGTGCATGCCTGAAAATTGTCGCACCGCTACCATTTTAAACTACACTAAATTTGATGTTAACTACATGTAATGTTAATACACAGTGTCCAAAAGCTGGCAGCAATGTATAAATGTTGATGTTAATGTTACATTTCCTTGACTCCTACATGTATGAGTAGGATTTTGATGGAGTATTACAACTCTCATTTGTCATAGAACGGTGATCAACATAAATCTCTGCAAACACTGAGAAAAGCCATTTCAACCTTTGACATTTTCATTCCCTCAGGTGAATAGATTTTATTAAAGGTGCTTTTTCTAAATTTAGGGCGTTCGATCAAGCAAATGCCTTCTTCACGTGTTGAGCCTGGCTTGTGTGAACTTTGAGAAACGCACTTCAAACAGCCATATCCTATTACCTGACAAATACCACCTGACAGCTGATCACCTGGTTGCCATGCAGAAGGTGTATGCCGTTGCTAAGGACCCCTGACTGGTGTTGAAATCTCCCAAATCAGGTTCATCTGAACCTTTTAAAAACTTAAATATAGTTATTGTGGTGACACTGTTGCTCTACAAAAATGCATAATGAATGAAATTTGAAAATCAACAAGATGTTTTTGATATTCTATGAAATATAAGGACACCAATGTGTCCTGAACTGTGCTGTAAAAATCATCAGGTTCCCGCGGATAGGGAAGTGTGGGGTCTTGGTTTCCTTCTGCTCGCCCCGCAAGGCATGCTGGTAACTCCTAGTTTTCGCCATTTTGTTTGTTTAGCAAGAACGAATTCTTGGCAAGCTCTCCAAAACTCTGGAAAACAAGGTTTTTCCGGTTTCCAACGTGACCCTCGGTGGATTCTGCACACAGTGGACGATTTCATAAAGCGTCACAGAGGTTGCTGTGTCGATATGGCGGCGTTTTGATGCGGCGGTGGACTCCAGTTTTCCGAGCAGGCAGAGCGCGGGTTGCTTGAGATGAGACGGGGAGAGACCCGTCCGGAGGCCGACCCCGGCGACAACCGGCGCCGACCCAGCCTCTAAACATGGCAGCCAGAACCATCAGTAGGAACAGGAACATCCTCGATAAGCTGGAGATGTGAGTACCGCTTTCTAAAAACACACAAACCCAACTTCTACTACCGCTAGGGCCCCCTCTATACGGGAAAGCAACGTACGTAGTTAACACACTGCAAGTGTGGGCACAGCAAGAGCTCTTGTTTCCTAAACACAACACTTTCACCCCGAGATAGGTCACAACATTCGTAATCGGAGGGTCTTACTGTCTCATTTAGCCGACATTAAGTGCGATCTCATAACTACAACACAGTTCCCCAGCATTTGGAGCTCTGTACTGTACGGTTCCTCCCACCATCTGTTAGGAAAATACAACTGTTTTG